ACTACAGTGTATACAGGCGCTGATTAAGGGGGGGCGCTCTCTCTCTCTCTCTCTCTCTCTCTCTCTCCACCCCCCTCCCTTTCCCTCTCTCCCCCTCTCCCACCACCCTCTCCACCCCTCTCTTTCCCCTTCCAATCTCATCAAGTTTTTAATCCTTCGGAAACTCGGGGAGATGAAAGTATTCCTTTGTCTCCCAACTGTCTTCTGGGAAATTGAGGATTCGACTCGAGATAGGCGGCCGCTGCCGCCCCTTCCCTCCCGTCCCATTACCCCTTTGCTTCGCTTTCGTGCTTTTTCCTTTCCTTCCTCTCACCCTGTCCAACGTGGACCCAGGGGGAGGGGGAGGCGGGGGGGCGTGAACGGAATGACCGATAATTGGGCGGGTTCATTGTGAAATGGAGGGGCCCGCTCCTTCACGCCGGAAGTGTCTTGACGGCCATCTTGAAAAAGGGAGAAGGGGCTTCTGTCCCTCTCCCACCAACTTCTTTCTTTATTACTCTGCCAAAATGTAATCTCTGTCGTTGGCGTTGCCGAGGTGATAGATCACCCCCCGCGCTGCTGCTTGTGCGTCCGCCGCGCCGCCTCTCACAATGACCTGAATAGGCAGATAAGAAAGTAGGCACTTAACGCTGCTTGTTTTGTTTCCCTTGCGAAGAAAAGTCTTTTGCGGATAAGAAGTGCAATTCCTGACAGTGTAGAAGTATCCAGAAAAGTCTTTGGGACTATCATTATGAGCAAGTGAGGGGGGAAATTCAGATTTTTTTAAATGGATTTCCAATTTATTGAGCGAGTTCCACTAAGACGTAAAATTTACATAATTCGCACCTCATGGTGCGAATAAATATTACCAATTTCAGGAGGTTTTTAGTCTTCCGTTGTTTTCATGGGCCATTGCTTTCCTGTTAAGTTTTCTAAGTCATACGATGTTTGTGTGCTTGTGTTTGTATTAGTGTGTTTCTTTCCTTTCGTTTTTCTTTTGTGTGATTTTTTGAGTTAACATAAATGATGCCTCTGCACTTCCAGCCGCAGGGCACAGACATCTTATCTCTGAGTGATGAGCTCATAGCTCACGGCGAGGCTCGTACTCATCCTAGGATTTGTACTACTGTACCAACCACGTGTTTGTCATTCGTCGAAAGGCGTGTGTTCCCCCAAATTACGTCAAGGCTAGAGGTGGCAAGAGGAGACTAACGCTAGTTGTCTAGTTGCTGGATTTTAAGAATTTGCTATAGCAGTTGTCGGTACATCACGCGTGATGCAAGCGCGCTTGTTGCGTTTCAAACGGAAAAACATGTGCATGTGCATAAATTTTGCACAGACATTGAGATTTATCTTCTTGCGCTTTCGGTGACTTAAAAGTACGAAATAGTTCTTCCCAAGCTTTCAAACCATTTTTTTAGAATGCAAACACACAGTTTGCAAGCTTGCATCCTATGATTTTAATAGCCTGCATTCTATAGAATTTCTATGCAATATGAACTAAGTCTGAGAAAAAAAAAACGCTCGTGATTTCTTTGCAATGTTGCAAAGAATATAGTTTGCAAGCATGTTACAGTGAAGGGTACGATTGTGTAGAGGGCTATCGTAGTGTGGTCTTTTCTTTTGGTTCAGGGTAAAAAATAGTTTCTTTGAATTTCAACACCCGGCCTCGGTTGCCATTGGCGTTCTCCATTCGATCCAAGACCAGGTCTTCAAATTCAAGATTTTGTTTACCGTATGCAGGCGAGGCGAACGGTTGGGCCCGTCACTCACCGAAACGAGTGTGCAACCCCTTCTGCATCCGCTACAGTAGAAGAAACAACGACGGAGATGGGTTATTAGGCCACCCTGTAAGCCGTTTTTATATATAAAGCCAAAGTAGTATTAGTACTGTACTGTATTTGTATTGCCACCTGTGTATTTTTGTAGTATTAGGACTGTACGTTTGTAGTATTATTACCCCAGCTAGAAATACAACCTCGAAACGACGTCGAATCCACGTCGAAGTCGACAATTCACCGATCTAGGTGACAAAAACCCATCGAATCGACGTCGATTTCGCGTTGATCGATGAAATCGACCAAATTTCGACGACGCATTGGCTGGGTACTGTACTTTTGAGCTACTGTGAGCACATATTTAACAGTCATGCAATTGCATGCATTGACTTAAGTCTCAATCGACCGACGCGATAAACAAACCGCTCAGTATGTACAAAACAAAATCAACAATTTTCTCAGTTATGTAATCGGTTAAAATTGAAAAAAAGTCAGAAGAAAATAAAACTTTGTTTTTTTTATCTGACAAATATAATACGACAATACGCGAACGCACATTATTTTCGAGTCAATCCGCCATGGAAAGCTATGTGGCGACATACCCCCGACGCGTCAGAACCTCACCCCACCATCTCGGGGGTGGAGACGCGGCGGGCGGGAGAACGGGGAGGGGATGCGGGTGGAGTGGAGTGGAAAGGGAAGGGGCGGGAGAGGGGTAGCAGTGGATTGGGGGGAGGGAGGGAGCATGCAAGGAAGTGGAGGGAGGGCTTGTGGGGTTGCCCGATGACACATTCAAGGCCCGTAATTAGCACCTAATCCTCATCTGCCGCAACGATTTTGCAATTTGACGAATTTCTGCACACTGCACACGCGGCTGTGCGGAGGCAAACCGTCGAATTGTGACCCAAGAAAGCGTACTCTGTTAATAATTTGCCAACATTTAAGTTTCAGAAAAACCATATGACATAATAACTATCTCAGGAATTTTTATTTCCGTTACCTTCGCAACACGAATGCATTGCATATGCATACACTGTAAAACCAAGTGTGTACATAGTACACTCTTCCGTGTGCATATTAAAAAGCACGTACAAAGAAGTGTGTTACAGTCGACTACAGTGTATACAGGCGCTGATTAAGGGGAGGGGGGGATCCCCCCCCCTGTCTCTAGAGAGCCGCCTAGGTAGGCAATTTGCGCCACAAAACCACTGTATGTAGGCAATCGACAGTGCATTCCCCTGTCAGCCGGACCTTAATCCGCCCCTGTACATCTGTTAGGTTCCCACTTGGAAAACTAAGGTACGGGTAGGAGTACAACTCTATCACATTTAAAGATGTTTCAGTGATTTGGTTTACTAACACCCCCTTATAGTGCAGACTTTTTGAGCGATTTAAGTGTCTTTGTAAAGTATTAGCAGTCTAAAAAAATATTTACCCTCTCTGGAAAGGCACGAAGTAGCACCTTTGTTTCTCCAGATGGACCCGCCCTTAATAAGCTTTCATTTCTCTGAATGGCCATGTTGTTTCCTCCATTATAGTTATCGTAAAATATTAATTACTTATCGGAGTACATGGAAGCGTTTCGCGAAAATCGTTGCGATGACAACTTACGGCCAACGATCAGGCTCCTTTTGCGTGTCCCTCCTGGCTATGCAGCTTGAGAGAGTGTCGCTCGAGACGTATCGCTACGGCCCTCTATCTCGTTCTCTCTCCATTGCGTCCGTCACTCACTTTCCCAGCGTTATCGAGTCGTATTGTCTGATGCTAAACGTTTCCATTTCCTCTTAATTTCTGGCGTTTCGTCTGTCCGCCCGGTTCGCTCCGCGGGCCCTGGCCGGCGCTGCACAGCCCGCCTCGGCGCCTCGCTACCCATAAAACCATTTTATTCTCTCCTTTTGTCGACGCTCATCAGTCGCCAAGTATCTCCGTGTCGTCTCTGTGTCCATCTCTCCTTCTCTTCTCCCCGACCTCTTTGGCTCTGGCCTGGCAGGGTCTCAGTGCTCCATAGATGGGACTTCCGCACTGTTGTACTCGTAAATTTTGTCAGGCAGGCCTTTTCTTCTATTTGCACCCTTTTAACTTTCAATATGTACGCAACCTTGTTTTTCTCTGCAATAGTTTTTTAAGAGGCTTCCTTGGCTATGGCGGGGAATTCAAAATTTCACACTTCTGGCGAGAGAAGAGTGGGGCGCGAGACACGTTTCCGCAGTCACTTGTTTTGTTAAATGCCTCAGTTCCCTCTGCTTCTTGACATGGAGCAGCCCATCCCAGCCCAGCAGAAGCAGCAGCCCGCGTAGTAGTGCCGTCATTGTTCTTTGCCGTCCAGCGGAGTTTCAGTTGTGGACATAATTTTGGCATCTTTAAAGAAAGTCCAGCGCTATGCACTGAAAAGATAAAGGTGTGGTGTGGCTGTGACAACTTTTAAAGGTGCTATTTTTAGAGCCTCTTTTAAAACGTACTGAAATCTTAAAAAGTCCTGAATCTGACACCTTTGAAGTAACTTTAGCTTCTAAATCATTAGCTCTCTCGAAAGTTTCCCAAGCTCTCCTTAGAGCAGCTTTGTGACTACAGGGGACGATTTGACTTGACTAATCGCGAGCCGACTGTTTGGGTTATGCCGCAGCCAACTCAAAATCAGTAATCCGGACCAAAATTAAAAAGGAATTACTTTTGTTTTCATTTTATACGCCGCACCATCTTACGTATTGACTAGAAAGCAGTGTGCGGTCGCCGCGCGCACCGTCCGTGCACTCTCCCCGTTGGGGTTGGGATGTATGCTGCGCCGCCTGGCAGGCGTGCGTGGCGGGTTTGCCTATCGCCACGGCGCCTTGCCTCTCCGTGCGGAGTTTGATAGTTAGGCAACGACTCGAGCCACTCTCCCCGTTGGGGTATGCTGCCCCGCCTGGCAGGCGTGCGTGGCGGGCTTGCCTATCGCCACGGCGCCTTGCCTTTAAGTTCACTTATTTGTTCCAGAGAGTTAGTCAACCCGCTCTCCGCGCCGCGCACGGCGCAAGCGGAGCCTCGCCACAACAGAAAACGAAGCAAGTGTATGAGCTGCCTCGCCACTGCCGGTTCGCCTTGTTTCTCCTTCCTATGAAGGCTATGTGCTGCCTGTGCTGCAGCCGTCGACAGCGCATACCGCGCCAACACCGCGCTGCCTTCTGCTTTGCCAGCCCTCCCTTCCCCTTCAAATCGAAATCTTTTCCTTCTTATTGATTCACTGCCGCCGGGCTCCGCTCCCCGTTCCCTCCTCCCCCGTACAAAAATACCCTTCAATGGCCGAGCGCGCCACGCGAAAGAAGGAAAGAAGGGGTTGGGTGGGCAGCCGGGAGGGGGAGGAGCGGTGCGGCTACAAGTGGGTGGTGTTCTCGCTCGCTCGTTCCTCCCCCTTCTTTCATTTTCTCCGTTCTACTCGTTTTTGTTTTTTTTACCCCTGATGGAGACATTTGGAACGGCGGGACCGGCCCGGCCCCAGCAGCAGCGCCATTATACGACGCCGCTAGCGCACAATTTAAAGGCGTAATGCAAAAAATGAGAATAAAGTAGCCGCTTCGACTTTGGCCTCGTCGGCCTGTCACCGCGGAACGGACTGACTGAGAGAAATGCGTGACAGGCAGGTCGAGGGGCGTGCGGGGGAGAAGGGGGGG